ATAATAACCACAGGCTTCCTGAACTGTGCTTACAGAAATATAATGCAGGTCAGGCAGTTGTAGTAAAACTACACCACGAACTCTAAAAGTCAAATGCACAGGCCTGCAAATATTTGCTCACAACACTGCTAGCAGAAGGGAGCTCTATAGAGCCCCTCGAGAGAGAGAGAGTATTTGGCCTACTCTTCGACGCCACTGGGCATTTGTGCAAAAGAGCTTCATAGCTCATCGGATTCCTCCAGTATAAATATTCTGAGATGTCTTGGAATGAGGTGGGAGTATCCACACTTTACCCTACCTGCCGGTCGACCGACCTTGCTGCGCTCATTTATGCTGCTGGGTTGAATGTGGCGGGGGTGGGAGGGGGTCAATTTAAGAAGCTTCCATTGTTTCCTTTGCAGCACAGGGAGATTGACCCAGTGATGAGTGGATTGCAAGTCCAGTGTGTTAACAATTACCAAGGCAACATCCCTTTACTCACATAACTATATTTAACTTTTTTTTTGCTGCTACATGAAGGACATATACGATTTGCTTATTTATTTTGTAACCTATGTTATCCACAGCGACACTAATTATTATATTCAGTTATGTATTATGTAATTTTGCGTCCAACTAGGACCCATATGTTCATGAGAGGGTCCTTGACTAGGACATCTGGAAGTTCATCAGCATCGGTTCAAGTAAGCCTGACTCTGCTGATGAGACACTGTAGGTCAAAACCGGTCAAAATGATCATTTGATTGAAACAATGCTGCTGCCAATTTGCATTCCCAGAAGGCCTTGTGGTTGATGGGAAGTCTAAAAAATAATTTAGTTATTTATGTGGAGGGACAGATATATGAAAGCAATACATTGTCTGCTTACTTATTTTTTTAATGTAATCAGCGTTGTTAATATTTTGTGTTGAATATATAACAGTATATTTTAAACAGCCATTTTGTGTTCCTTCCACACAAAGATGATCAGTTTTGTAAAAAAGGTAACATTTTCTGTCCCCCTCTTAACATTACTTGTACACTTGTGTTACCAAACTGCCCTTGCAGTTCACAACAAACTGGCATGAGCTGTAACAGTTCAACCTCTGCGCTCAAATTCCTACATCAACATGACTTTCTCTGGTAGATAACTTTCAAATGTAACATAAGCAGTGTTACTGAAAAACAATTATCAATAACTCTCATCATTGTTGCTGTCAAATCGTAAATTATACAACGATCTATGCATCCATTTGTCCATTCAGAAATGAAATAATTTTGATTCTCAGTAAGGCTTTCCTGAATAAAAGTATGGCATTATTCTAGATTTGAAGTTTTCGTGACTGCACGGATCCATACTCTTTAGTTCTTTCGATAAAGTCATGTAAGTATAAATTGCAATTGTTTATTGCTGTGGTTGGCCCACCTGATGACGGACGCTTATGTTGCGCCCAAAACGCCGTGATTTTATTTATTTTATTTTATACCTACTTGACTTTACCGAAATAACCAAAGAGTATGGCATTATTATTATCTTCCTGGATAAACATATGGCATTATTATATAAATTACATTAACATAACATAAGATTATTATCATCATCATTTGCCCATGGGCGCACATTTCAGGGGGCATTTTCTTTTATCAAAGCGCCATTTTAATTGTGAACAATGTCCTGTCACATGGTGTGCATTTCCCATACGAGGTACATGTCGGAGCTGTATAAGAGAAGCATGGACTATGGTTTTCGTGAAGGGATTATGATTGCACGCATGTTGAATGTGAAGTCGAGTTTATCTTAATTGTTTAGAGAATAATGCTTTCTTGAATATCGACTGGCAGTGTGGCACATTGCAGAACCCATCATCCACACGTGTATGAACAATTCGTTGATTGATGAAGCCAGTTTATAATTTTTTTAAGAACAATTGTGTGACACTAAGGTGTAAAGTCGTCGTTGGATCAGCTGTACCTGCAAATGCAGACAACCGAGGATCCTTGACCCATGCCACATTGAAAGGGGTAAAACTGATTTTATGACATAAGAACTCTATATAATTACATCTCACTGCCTTGTGGGAACATAAGATTTAATTTTGAAACTTAAAAGTTTGCCTGATGGGGGTTATTGGTTGGTTGAATTTGAACAGAACTTTGACATTTGACTCACGTGATGTGTGAACATCTCAAATTGACTGTGTAAATATACATTTTTATTTTCCTCCCTTGTGAAAATGTGGCAGCAGGTTCCAGGATATAAAAAAAGTGATTAACGGTATGTATAACATTCAATGTATAGATGGGACTGAGAAAGAACACTTAACATTTAGGCCACCCCTCTTATATGTGTGGTTATCTGTGTGTGCATTAAGTAGCAGATTTAAGGAAATGTTTCTGCCAACTGGCCTTCTCCAAGAAATACTCATTTAGATAACTACGTGTGTTTTTATATTTGAATGCCCTTTCATACTGTGAAAATATTGTAGTCATTGTAAAATGTGTTTCCATGTGTGTGAGAATACAAATTCGTTGTGTTTATACAGAGCGTGCGATGTTGACACGAGTTTAATGTTGGTGAATACAGTGCAGTACAATGTCGCATATTCAACTCAATGGGGACATAGGTTTAGCCGGGTATGCGAAAGTGTTAGATATGCGAATCTAAATTTGCAATTACATCATGCACAAATACGTAACTGGGCAAAAGCAAAGCACAATGTGCTTAAAACACAGGGAAATGTTGCACGGTGCTTTAGAAGTAAGGGAATGTGCTTGAGATTCAGAACACATTACTCGATGTTAAAAGGTCAGATTTGTGAAAATGTGTACAAAATTACATTTATACCCTCATGCGCAAATACTACACTGAGTGTGGACAGTTACCTGGTCAGGTGGGATATGTGACCTTGTACTGTATATACATACTTTTCACCAAACAGTATACTGTACTCTAATTTCCTAACAGGTTTCGGTCGTATATATTATAAAGGAATTAATCACTATTCACACATCATTTTTTTCCCCGCACGCACCATCTATGCTTTATGAGGGAAACTATGTAATCACGAGTTAATTATTACATTCACGCATGCCTTGCAATATTTAAACGTTGGAGAGTTAACGTTATCACAATGGTTCACAGTGGTCATACAACAAGAGGATTAACAATAGCCAAATAAACATGCCAACGTGGGGCTAACGTTGCCATGTTTGGTTGGCCCACCGTTGTTGGGACCAACGTTGCATGTTTTCTGTGTGTGTCTTGTCACCCCCCCCCCCCCAATCTGGTTATTTATGCCTGGGAGAAAAAATAGCATCACTATTCAGCATCAATTATCACCGCCTTGCTTCGCGGCAGCAATTTGAGTCGAGCGCTGTTGTCAACAATCCAAAAACGAATGCACACGTTTATATTAAGTAATTGGTGTAGCTTATGAGGCAAAAAGTGAAAGTTGAGCGTTTTTATCCGTGAAGTGCGAGTCTTCGAATGCTACGGTAGGTTCAATTAGTGCTTCTTCATGAAGGAACGCAGCTACGAGTGCCCTGAAGTGGAATTAAATGCACGGATACAATTGCCTCAGTGTTTGCTCTGGGGCCAAAGATTTAAGTATTTCACATCCCTCCAAAGGTGGTGCGTGTACACACACGCACATAACTGTTATTTTCATGGCCACAAAATACCAACTACAACGACTACGGTAACAAATATGAAAACAGTGTAGACCTACAATTGTAGCCTATCATTTAAAACTGTTACCACGTTTATTGATGTACTATGAAGATTGGCCATTGTCTGAAACGTCACCGTATATATGTTACTTTTAAGGCAGTGTGATTGACGAACGTGTTGAGTTTGAAGGAAGTTTAAATATTTATTTAAATATACATTGTCTCAGAAAAGAAACGTTAATGTACAATCGATGCGCGTGCATTAATGGACAATCCGTAAATGCCCCCCCACCCACTGAGGACATATGGCTGACAAGGCAGCCCAGGTATTTAAGCACCAGGTGATTGTAGCGGGGTGGCTCACCGCTGTCTCTTTACTCTCAGAGTTGCTTGCTGTCGATACACACGTGGGGCCGACTTGCTCGCCACCGATGAACCCTACTCATTTGTTCCTATGCACTTTGCCACTACAATGGGTGTTACGGCGCTACGCAGCGCCACGGCGCGTATGCATATTTCATACAGGCTACAAGCAAGCGTGCACGTGTAAGCATACATAATGTAATGCAATCAGTGCTAAGTGCTGCGGACATTGCTTCCGTGACCCCATCGCGGTGACCTTTGCAAGCAACGGAGACGTGCCTTTTTTTAACAAGCACACCTGGCTTAGTATCCTTTCACTGAAAGGTCCCACAGTTCAGGATATTCATTTGCTTCGAGACGTGCATACACATGGCACCGCAGCACAGTGCCATTAACTAATGTGTTTTTGGCTGATTTACGGGATCCATTCTAATGCCTGGTGGTAATGGGCTCTGGCTGTGTGGTTGTTTGAGTCATGCTGCTGCTGCTCGTAATGCGCTTCTTGCGCAGTGCTTGCGTTTTTCGTTGTGTGTGCGTAAATCGTCGCTTTCCACGTGCTTTCTTGCGGCCCTTTGTGTATAGTTTTCCCCATTCGTTATTTTGAACTGCGGTTCCACCACGGCACATCATTAAAACGTAGCCCTTGGAACGAAAGCGTCTCCCTTTGCTGGCGACGGCTGCGTATCATTGTTGTGTACAAATATGCCCATTGTTTACTTAAGCCGCGTCTTGTCGAGTTCGCATATCTCAAACACGCAAACATTATTCACTTGCTGCGTGCTGGGTTTTGGTAACGTGCGCGTGTGTGCGCGTGTGCGTTCAGGCTGTATGCGCGGAGGGGAATCTTTGTCTTTTAGTGTGCATCGTTTGTACGTGTGGTTTGTGCTGAGAACTGTGAGTGAAGCGTATTAAAGCCACTCTGCCTGCCCGCTCATACACTCACCGCCCACCCATTCACTCACCAATCCACTCACTCACCCACCCACTCACCTGCTGACATTTGCCTGTCCGCGTGCCCCAGCGATGCGCCCTCCGGGCTGCCCTTCTCGGCCGGTGGCGGTGAGGGCAGCAAGTTGCCACCTTCGAGCTCCATGGTCCAATCGCCTTCACTGCAGGCGCCTTCCTGCCGCCTTTCCTTTCTTCCCCACAGCTCTGTTGTCTCCTCTCTCGCAAAACAGCCTCCCTATACCCCCTCCTCTCCTCCTCGGTTCCCACGGCTCCCACGCGGGACCAGAGCCCGCACCCAAGCGGGACACTCCGGGGGCCAAGGTCCCTCTTACTTCACCGCTACCTTGCTCCCGGTCGCTCTTCTCTCGGTAGACACTCTGCGTGCGCTAAAGCTTCGACCTTAGCGCCTGTTTAGCTTGAGCCTAGCTTCGGCAGCTCGCGTATGATGAATGCTGGCCGGGGCTGCGACTATTCGCTCGTCGCCAGCTGTTGTTGTGCGTGCTTGTGTGTGCTGTGCGCTCCCTATACCCGCCCCATGCACGAATGTAGCAGCAGCCCCTGATAACGCCTTCCCAGCGGATGCTGGATATTCATTACCAAGTCCGTCCGCTGCGAGGAGTAAATACGCCTCCACGCTCATCAATGTCGTCTCCTTTTATTCATTTATTCCGTCCGTCCTTTATTTAAACATAATATCCCAAAAAAAGAATGAATGCCTTTGCCCGTAACTGCAATTGATGTGCCTTATTTTTATTAGTTTGAATTGTTTAAATTGGGAGTGCCTATACGTGTCTGTGAATGTGCATTGCGGGCATGCACTGGTTTCTGCTGTGGTAATAATAATTATTAAAATAATTCATTTATTTGATCCATGTGAGGGCTTACTTAGTATTGCAAGGCGATACGATACAAAAACTCCTGCAAAAAAATGTCTTTGCTCTGAGTAATTTTACATTGCATGTATGCGTGCTTTGGCTTGATACTTGTTATATCCAGCAAATATATGTGGGAAATATATAATTAATTACGTGTACATATACACTTTTATGTATACACCTCTATGGGCAAATGTATGTACAAATATTCCAAATACATTTACTTGTAAACACTCATGGAGAAAGTATCAGGATATCTCTAACAGTATATCTACATCAGTAAACTGTATATCTACACCAATACTCTGTGTGTATAACACATAAACTCCACACATTTTTCCATATCATTGCCCTAAAATGGCCTACCTCAAGTTTCCGTACTAGCACCATCACTATTTAACGTAAGTGACCTGCCATGTACACCATCTCGCAAGTTCATATGTGCATGTGACATAGCCCCTTTGCTGCACAGGGCACAAACCTCAAGAACATTGCCAGTACTCTCACAGCTGATCTTAACATTATTGGAGGAATTTTTCTGTCGCTGGAGACTCCGACCAAATCTTTCCAAACCACCGCAAGCACTTTCCACTTGAATAATCATGCAACGGATACCAACCTTTATGTGTCCTTCTGTGGTAGCCCAGTGCGCTATGACCGCCCTGCAAGATATCGAGGGGTTATAATGAACAGAAGCCTGACGTTCAAGCCCCGCATAAAAACAAGTCTGTGAAAAGAGCAAACCAAGAATTTCCCTGCTACGGAAACGTGCAGTAACGACCTGCGGCACCTCAGCCAATCTCCTGTGAACTGCCATCCTCTCACTGATCAACTCAGTATTCCTGCACTCCAGCCTGGTCCTAAAGCTCGTACACAAAACTGCTGTATGCACAATTAAATAACACATGCGCATTTACTGAAACTGACACCAACCCCTTGGGCTCCCTGTTCTAGCAAAAATTAAGCCACCAAATATCCACAGAGACATGCAAAATGCAAGGCAGTTTTCTTGCCAATGACAACCTATCCATTAACCAAGGCATCAACAATGTACATTGCCACCGACTCGAGTCCCAATCCTCCTTCTGGGATGGCGCTGCTGTTACTCTTCTACAATCTCATCCAAATCCATAAGAATGCTGGCAAACAGATTGGAACAACGCAGACTTCCAGAATTAAACACCTTATTCGAGACCCAAACATCACACCTCGTGGCTTTCTCAACCGCATCAGAACATCAACAGGCCGATGCACACATCTTCATGAATAGAACATTTAAGATAAGCCACAGTGAGACCGTGGCCATGCAACCAAATCTCCCGCACTGCCGATTAGCACGGTTGGCTACATACGATGCAAAATAAGCTCAACGTACATACATGAAAACTATGGACCATATCGTGAACCACTGTAGTCTGAGCTCCATCAATGGAGGAAAAGCAAAACGACAACTCTTTGCTGAAGCCATCTCATAGCTAGCAGAACTCGACATTGGTATTTAGCTCCTGACTATTGCCATACAGAATATTATATAATTTCCCTAAATTGGGAAAGGAATGCAATAGGTGACGTTTTGGGCAATCGACATTCTTCATAGCACACGGTATAAAACATGTTATTAATGTGTGTGTGTGTTCCACGGTATGAGTGTATGTGCGGCGGCGTCTTTATTTTGGCGAGACGCATGCAAGTGGCCGGGCACAGAGAGGGCCCAGCCGACTGTGTAGTGCGGCACGTATGCAAGCTCCCACTGATCGTCGGAGAGGCGAAGGAGGTTAATTATTTTATATGAAAATACGTTTGCCCACTTCTGCCAATTGCTTTGATAATTAGTGCATAAATATCATTTAATTCACGGAGAGAAAACAAATGCACACGGGAATGCCATACTGTACATACACACCCGGTATTGGATTTATTAAGGAATGCACAAGTGCATATGATTTGATGTTCATACAACCGTGCAATAGTCTGCATATATGGTAGACACAAACAGTGGTGCTGTTAAGCTGATGCTGGACAATTTTACTCAGCATCGTTGTCTTCTCTACATGCGTATAATGGGATATATGCATTGAAGTGTGTACGTGTCATGAATGCCTCCAGTTATATTGTATATAATTCCCATCACATGTTTCGGCTTATAAGAAAATCAAGGTTCACACTAGCATGCATTTTTATGTTAAACGTTTATTTCGGCTGTAAAAGTATAAGGAAGGTATTTATCGCAACTTGCGGCGAAACCGAGTCACTACTAAACGCGTTTTTCCATTTACAGCGGTCATCACGCGTGTATGCTTTAGACGGCGGCGTGAAGCGCTGCGTGATGACATTAATTTCACCTTCAAGCTCTCAGGCGCATAGTTCCAATGATGTTCACTGAAGGGTCGTTTATCTTTGATGGAAAATGAACATCTAACTGAAAGGAAACCGCCCCCTTTCCCAAAACAACGTGCGTGTACTGGCAGTGTCAAACACGGGGTTGGCACATATATGCTCATGCGTTATTTTAATGTTTCATAAAAAGCACATTTTTCGTGGATAAAGCCATCCGCTATGCGTTTTAATAAAATAACCATGATTACAGTGAAAGTGGAACACAGTGTTCACTATTAAAAAAAGGATATAATAAGTTCTCTCCTCTGGTCCGGTAATGCTGCATACAATACATTGCAACACACCTCTCCCCCTGGTGTAGTGGTGCATTTCCGCAATTCATCGGCTCGGTGATGGGGTTAGTTGAGCACCCAGAGATTGATTTTGTCCATGAATCATCTACACGCATTGTAGCAAGATGTCTGGAATAAGGCAGTACAGCAAGTAGGCTGTACACACATACTGCATTCAAATACCCACTATTTGTCCCTACGTTTTCTTCAGGCATTCTGGTTTCCTCCCACATTAAAGGAATTGGATAACATCACACACCTGGGCCAAATGAAAATAATTGGAATATTTGTGAAACTATCCACTGTAAAACATGAGCCTATTAATGTGTCTCTGAAACAATTATTGAGATCAAACCTCCACTTAAATGTCAACGGTAAATCTGACTGCCAATATATGGTAAAAGGTGCAGCTCTGCAATTGCTCATACCACTTCTGTCAGAAAGGCCTCTACCAGATGTATTTAGCCTCATTACCCATACTGGCCAGCCATCTTGGAAGAGGTGGGAGTACCCACATTTTATCCCACCACACATGACCTGCCGATCGGCTAACTGTGGTGTACCCATCTATACTGCTGAGTAGATATACAGTGAGGGAAAAAAGTATTTGATCCCCTGCTGATTTTGTACGTTTGCCCACTGACTAAGAAATGATCAGTCTATAATTTTAATGGTAGGTTTATTTGAACAGTGAGAGACAGAATAACAACAAAATCCAGAAAAACGGATGTCAAAAATGTTATAAATTGATTTGCATTTTAATTAGGGAAATACGTATTTGACCCCCTCTCAATCAGAAAAATGTCTGGCTCCCGGGTGTCTTTTATACAGGTAATGAGCTGAGATTAGGATCACACTTTTAAAGGGAGTGCTCCTAATCTCAGCTTGTTACCTGTATACAAGACATGTGTTCACAGAAGCAATCAATCAGATTCCAAACTCTCCACCATGGCCAAGACCAAAGAGCTCTCCAAGGATGTCATGGACAAGATTGTAGACCTACACAAGGCTGGAATGGGCTACAAGACCATGACCAAGCAGCTTGGTGAGAATGTGACAACAGTTGTTGCGATTATTCGCAAATGGAAGAAACACAAAAGAACTGTCAATCTCCCTCGGCCTGGGGCTCCATGCAAGATCTCACCTCGTGGAGTTGCAATGATCATGAGAATGGTGAGGAATCAGCCCAGAACTACCGTGGAGGATCTTGTCAATGATTTCAAGGCAGCTGGGACCATAGTCACCAAGAAAACAGTTAGTAACACACTACGCCGTGAAGGACTGAACTCCTGCAGCGCCCGCAAGGTCCCCCTGCTCAAGAAAGCACATATACATGCCCGTCTGAAGTTTGCCAGTGAACATCTGAATGATTCAGAGGAGAACTGGGTGAAAGTGTTGTGGTCAGATGAGACCAAAATTGAGTTATTTGGCATCAACTCAACTCGCCGTGTTTGGAGGAGGAAGAATGCTGACTATAACCACAAGAACACCATCCCCCCCGTCAAACATGGAGGTGGAAACATTATGCTTTGGGGGTGTTTTTTTCTGCTAAGGGGGCAGGACAACTTCACCGCATCAAAGGGACGATGGACGGGGCCATGTACTGTCAAATTTGGGTGAGAACCTCCTTCCCTCAGCCAGGGCATTGAAAATGGGTCGTGGATGGGTATCCCAGCATGACAATGACCCAAAACACACGGCCAAGGCAACAAAGGCGTAGCTCAAGAAGAAGCACATTAAGGTCCTGGAGTGGCCTAGCCAGTCTCCAGACCTTAATCCCATATAAAATATGTGGAGGGAACTGAAGGTTCGAGTTGCCAAACGTCAGCCTCGAAACCTTAATGACTTGGAGAAGATCTGCAAAGAGGAGTGGGACAAAATCCCTCCTGAGATGTGTGCAAACCTGGTGGCCAAGTACAAGAAACGTCCGACCTCTGTGATTTCCAACAAGGGGTTTGCCACCAAGTACTAAGTCATGTCTTTGCAGAGGGGTCAAATATTTATTTCCCTCATTAAAATGCAAATCAATTTATAACATTTTTGATATGCGTTTTTCTGGATTTTGTTGTTGTTATTCTGTC